TTACGGCTGCGTTGGAGCCATCTTGGGGCCAACTTCGTCTACCTTGGAGCCCATAATGGCATGGTGATACAACTTCGGCATTGTCTCCAACACGCTCTCCCCAGTGGCCCTGCAAGCACGACGTAACGAAAAATCATCCAAAAGTGTACCTCCAAAACGCTAGCAAAGCTAAGCAGAGCCTAGAGAGCCCCATAGCACGCCCTGCACCGACAAGCGGTGTGGGCGGATTCACCAACCTAACGGCTGATTTTGCTTAATCACCTAGCAGCGGACAAGCTGACAGCTGGTTGAACAGCAGTTTCAGACACCCTAAAGCAGCAGCCAATTCAACGTGAGGTTTTGTGTTGCTCCATTACAGCAGCCAACAGCCTATTCAGCAATCGATTCTGCTAGGTCTCAGCAGGCAACCAGAATCGGCTGCTGCCCTTTCTGTGATGGGGCAGAATCACGACAGTGATCATGTTTGGACTTTAAGGTAACACTCATATGTCAATATATATATATATATATTCTTTTCTTTATTTATATACATACATAGACATGTATATGCACATGTACACGCGCACACGCTTCCAATCCTCAGACGTACTCTTGTTTTGGTCCCGTAGTTCTTTTGGTTTGGAAGTGATTTCTTGCTAAACCCCCTCCAGGACGCTGGTCATGGGCATTGTTCGCAACCCCTTGACGATGGTCGCCTCCGCCTATTGCTACCACCACCACGGGCAGGAGCGGGGAGAGAGCTCAGTGCGCATTTCTTGTGGTACAGGATGGGTGTGTGTGGCTGCAGTGTACTTTTCTGGGTGAACCCCAAAATCTGTCGAAGCCATGAATCGCATGAATGTTATTTTTTGTATATAGGGACTCTTTATGATAGGGTAATTAGGTACATTCAACATGAAAAGGTTTTTGTAGCTGTAGCTAAGACAAAATCCAAGAAGCAGCGAGACCAGATCAATGTGTTTTCGTCGACAGTTTGGTCACATAAATTCAGGACACAATTTTTGTGACCACATGGTTTCCACGAGGTACGGGTTGATGCCATCTACTCTGAAACCACTGTATTGTTTGGGCCACATGTTTTTACATGTGGCCAATGAGGCAACTGACCACGTCGGAATCCGACTCCGGACTCCACGGCTATGCACCATGCAGGCTATACATTGTATCATTGTGAGATCCAGTGAATGAGGATGGGATTGAACGCCAGACTTCGCTGATATGTGTATAGCCGCTTATGGTTATTTGAGGTGCTCATCAGATTTGAAGATCGCTGTTGGTGTTGTTGAGCGGGTTTTAGGGCACCGAAGGTTGTTTTTAAATGTGTTTTTCTCGTATGATACAAATGCATTTGCACATGATGACCGTCGGGCCATGCTGTTCAAACCCGCCCCCGCACCAGTTGCAAGGCTGCACTTCCCAAAGAATCTCTGGCTCACCGTCCAGTCCGCTTTGCCTTCCAGTCTGGCCACTCCCGGAGACCCCGCGAGGATCCGGTGACTCCCCATGTGATGCCCCCGGTCTTCGAGTTTCGATCCTCGAATCCCTGGGACCGGCCACCAGCTTGAGCCGGTCTCCGGCCAAGCGCCCGGGCCTCCGAGTTTCGAGGAGATGCAGAATCTCATGTTCGACGTGCAACGCTTGAAGGTGCTGGGCCCCGACGAAGGAACCACCGCTACAGCGGCTCAAATGAGAGTAGAGTCTGACTCCGGTGGGACTCGTTGAACGCATGAAAATGCCCGCAGGCAAGACGTAGGAGACGTGGTTTGGTGTTTGGTGTCATTCTGGCCGGGGGGGGTTGCAGACGTCAATGTGGACTCACAGACTAAGAAGGTGCGGGCCTGGGGAGGTAAAACATAGTAAAACCAGTCTGGTCATGTTTGGTCGAGGGTTTGATGAATCGGCCGTCAACAAGTAGGTGTGGGCAAAACTGGACGTCCCATGTGTGAATCCCATGAATTCCCGAGGGAGATTATGCCATTATATTATTATTGGACCTCCTGGAAGGTCCAAAAAACCTGGAAAACCACTTGTTTGGTATTCGAAACGCGGTCTTTTAGGGGCCTCAATCTTCCAGTTCCATCCAGTTCCATGACAATACATGATAATATATACTATTTTGAATCTATTTGGAGTGTAAGTCTCACAGGGACTTCCAACCTTCGGGGGCGCTGAGGCCGAAATGTTGCTGCCGGTCGTCGAGTGGATGACGAGCGCTTTCGCCGAGCCCGACGGGGACACGCTGCGGCTCAGGCGACGCGTCATTCGTGGGAGTTCTGGAGGTCGAGCCTGATAGGGACTACTAGGAACAAGAAGCTACTAGGAACAAGTGCATCGCTTCTAGTAACAAGTGCCTTACTAGTAGTAACAGGAAGCTACTAGTAACAAAGGGCATCGATACACAAGTTCAGGACTTTGGGGCTCAGGCTCAGGTCTTCCCCAGTGGTGTGTGTGTGTGTGTGTTGTAAGGGACTGGTCAAAAAAGAGTCTTGGGTATTTGAGCTGTTCGAGTTCCGAGGAAGGAATACCCGATTGGTATATACTGGTATACTATGGGAGGCTCCCTCTGACAAAAGTGACACAAGATATGGAAGAAGCAAAGGATCAAGGATGAGAGAATTATCAACGATACAACTCGTTCGTCATTAATATATATATATATGTATAGATCGATGCATGTACATGGATCTGATTACTGTAAGGTACACTGTTGGAGTCACGGAAACCCTGGCCAAATATGGAATCGGTGTCCCAACCTTGGCCTGGCCTGGCCATGGAACTCACAAGCGTTTCTTGGCTCAAAGATGTTCAACACCTTCAGGAAACGAGTACTGTAGCAAGCGCTTGCGCGCATCGGCTTGTGGATTCTGTCGGCCTTCGGTGGTTTCTAGTAACGGTTGCTGTGCGGTTGCTGTTTGGCAGATTCTCTAGCCTTCTTTGTGAACGACTGCTGTTTGGCTTCCGGCTTCACGAAACGCTTTGCGTGTTCTTTGGGGAGGCGATGGGCTCTCCCCAACCCTTCCCCCCATGGCACAAAATCTGCAACACCTCTCCAATTTGGTGCCTGCTGCTAAATCTATTTGACACCCCTGCCCCAAAGGTAGAACTTGGAGCCCTATCATGGCTGACTTGATTCTGTATGATTATGCTGTGCGCGAGTTTGCGGATGTTTTGTTCTCACTGACTTTGTGTATCACGCACACCTTTTACATGTTTGATCATTTTGGAAAGAAAGGCAAGAGCTTGCAGATGAGTGTTTGTGTTCTGAAAGGTAAACGGACTCAGCTCTGTGTGTGTGTGTGTTCCACGATGAATGGTCTACCATCCCACGAAGGTGTTGCAGGATGCTTGCCTGCCCTAAATGTGGCTGTTCCCACCATGGTCCGTGCTTTCCCATCACCAGGGTGTCACTTGACTCACTTGACCGTTGGCCAGATCAACACCGACCCTCTGACTCACTAAGAAGACGACTTTCCCTTGGAAGAAAATGGTCCCTTGGAAGACGACTTTCCTTTACCAACGAGTTTTCACTCCACGAAACCCTGTTTTCTGTCTTTGTTTTGGGGGGTTCCACCTTCGGTCTCCATCCGTTCGTGGACGTCTCACGGTCATCCGGCACGTCGCACGTCGCACACGTCGCCCCTAGGTACGAGGACTTCGAACGCTCTTCGGACAGCTTCGACCGCGAGGCGGGACACTGGTTGACCCCGAGGATGGGAGTGTTTCGGTGAGGAGTGTTGGTGACCGAGGTCATGCGGTCAGAGATGGTCGGGATTGGAAGTGCTTTTGGAAGATGCGACAACTGGGGCTAGATGGAACACTGGGGCTTGAGTTGGCTTATTATATATATATATAGAGATTCTAGATATAAAATATAGTATAGTATATATAGACATAGGTAGGCTCCAGGCTAGAGTGACAAAAAAAGAAATGTGAACTGTTGGCTGAACATGTGTGCTGTCAGAGATGAGTGATGAGAACTTGGTTTGATTCTGTCAGTGTTGTGGTGATCTATCCAAAATCCAAAAGACAACTGTGGGTACGGAATACTATTGTTTCTTAAGAAGCCAATGGCCTCAATGTGCTGCATGTGAATAACGAACACCGCAGACACAAATCAAATTGTAGAGTATTGTAGGCTTTTCGGGTACCACAAACTACACATTCTAATTTAATTCACAAACATGAAATGGACCCTCCCGCCTGTTTGAATGAATCATGTTTCATATTATTTAGTTTTTTCTCCAAACAGTTTACTGTTGGTGTCCTATCTTAGAAAAGAAAGAGCTGACCACACTCACTGGCCGCGCCCCTGAAATCTGTGGCTGGGCTCTGTGGCCCGGCTTTGTGTCCGGGCCTTGTCCTCCTGTTGTCCTCCTCTTGTCCTTGTCGGCCGCGCCCCTGTCTGTGGCCCAAATCGTTTTTTGACTAATATTGGTCCAAACGAATCGTTTTGAAACTGTTTGGGGTCTATGCTGGTATAATTGAAGTGTAGATTGCTTGCTTTGTCATGTTTTAATGAATGAAATGCAATGTCAAGGGCCGCATCCAGAGTTCACGGTCGATGACCACCTCATCGATGTCAACGGTTGCGACCACACGAGGTGGATAAGTTGCTGGATTTCTTCTTCGCCGCTTCCAGCAGTCCAGCTTGGGCAGCTCCACTCATTAGCGAAGGGGAGCCATGGCCAAAGGTCGATTTCGAAAGCCCATCAGGCGCTGTAGGATTTCTCTTACTCATACGCTGCTGCGGGCAGCCATTGTTTCACCGGGCTTCACTGACTTTCAACGTGGTTGAGATGTTTTTCAATTTGTTTCTTTGTTTCTTTTTGCACCTGCTATTCCTGGAGCCAGACACCCTTCGATGTCTCTCCCCCTGCACTCGCTCCCCGCACCCGAGGAGCGTTCGATCATGCAATCCATGGCGACCACGGCGGACCTGCGGCGCGCGCCCTTCCTGGCCGTCAGTGGGCCCAAGGAGCTGAACCACACCAACGACGAGGCCTGTGAAGGCGTGGCACGACGGGCGGCTGGGAGGATGGAGCCATCGATCTTGAAGAAGTATCAGGACCGCCCAGGGGGTGGGGCAGAGCGGAGAGAGAGTGGATGAGAGTGAGAACTTGGGGGATGAGAAAAGGGCCACCGGGTGACTGCATGAAGTCGAAATGGCCGCTGATCGAATTGGTCTGAAGGAGGAGCCTAGGGCCTATTGCCAATCAATCGTCCGAAGTTCTGCCTGAAGTAACCTGATCAGCCGAAGGAGGAACAAAAAAGGATGATTATGGATGATGTTACTGTATCTTACTGTAAGATTCAGATCGATGTATACAATTGTATATAATTAGAGCCTTGAGATTGGGCATGCTTGCAGGTACACTCTGACCTGTTGTGGTCTGACCTTGTGGGCTGTAGGGGATGGTTTTGGCTCAGCGTTCAGTTCGCCCTTGTCATACTCACACCTCAGACCAACAAGCACATGGATGCTCTCTTGGAAAGTGGGTTGACCCAATGTTTCTGCCCCTCCAAAGTGCTGGGTATATGACATGACGGTTGTGTTTTTTCTAGTAGAAACCACGAGGTCCCAAAGAAGAAAGCACGCTTTTGCATTGCGGAGAATCACGCCGCGGGAGACATGCCGTGGACACCCATGCAGGAGTAGGTTTCGAACTACGTGGAACCAGCGTGCCTGATACCGTTGTGGAACCCAATTGCCTTAGTTTTGCTTCAACAGTGAAGCATTACGGGACCCCCGACAGGACAGAAATGAAACCTGATGTGAACATGACGTGAAACTGTAACATTGACAGGAATAGCCTTCCCAGCGACAATAAAACACAAAGCTTCTCTCCTTACCCTAATTCCTTTTTGTTCTTCCTGTCAATCTCTTTCGGGGCTGCACAAGACCACCGTACAAGCTGACTTTGCACTTGGGCTTTGGAAGGCCAAACCTTTTGGTTACTTTGCAGTTGAAACCTGGACGAATGCTTTCAGAAGCCGCCAGCAGCGGGTTTGCGCTATGGGCGGCCCCACAGCCAGGAGTTCCAGAGGCGCCTCGGATATCGAATTGGATCGGCGTAAGGAGCCAAGCCGAGCCGAACGTGAGCAGCCCTGCCAAGAGGGCACCACGCGCTTTGCCTGTGCCACAAAGACCTCACTGTCACTTACGTGGAGACGGATTTCTGGGAAGGGTATTCAACCATGCATGAAGGGGGCTCACCATGCGGGACTAGATTGAGTAGATGGTACAAATGGTTTTCTTTGGGGATCTACTGCACAGATAGGTGCCATGTAATAACAACATATAGATATATAATCGTATAGATATTGTCATTTACGATATTTACGCAAACAAGAATCGCCTACGATTGACCAGGTACAAAAAGGTTTTGGTTCAGTGAGTATGACAGATGAGTCTCTTGAACCGCTTTTTGGAGAGGGAGGATAGGTCAAGAGATTCTTTTCCAAAGAGGCTACACGAGAAACAAGGAGAAACACCGAAGAGGTTTGAGTTCAAGATGCCCGAATCAGCCAATGAGCCGAAGAATGGGTCATGCTCATCTAACTGGAGTTCGAAAACATTAAAAAAAAAACTCAAGAGGAGGAAGCAAACATTTGTGCACAGCCATCAATCTTGAAGATAATGCCATTAAAATCCATGGTCTATCCCTTGGAGATCAGACCTGAATGTCTAATGCCAGGCTCAGGTCAGACGATCTCCCTGGCTCAGCGCATGCTAAGCTAGAGCAGCGTAACTCCAGTGCATGTGCCACCAAAGCAGGCCACAACAAGAATGATCATACATGGTCATGCAAGGGATGCTTCTTCCGCTCCATCTGAATCAGTTGGCGTGTTTCTTACGCTTCTTGCAGCCATATGCCGGTGCCAGTAGCCTGTCAGTTGGAGTGCAAACACGTACCAAAGACACAATATAAAGCCAACGACGCCTCTACCCAGAGCATCCTGCTGGTTTCTCCCCCCATCTCTTCCCCTCACGGAGCTTACTGGTAGCTGACTAATTGGTGTACAGGCGCTGCTAGCCCACTGGGTTAAGGAGTGAAGCGGCTACGGTAGGCCTCTCCAAACAATAAAAACATCCCTACCCGCTTAGGTCCACTTCTGGGGGGGGACCTAGAAAAATGTAACTTACAATTTCCGGGGGACCCCATAAATGTATGTTGACCCCCCCCTCGTTTTGGGCCCTACTTATTCAAGTAGAGGCCATATTCATGGTCCCCCCCCCTCCCAGATTTTTGCTGTGTCTGGGTATGTCCCTGCGTGCATGTTCCTGGGAATTCTCCAGGAAATGAGGTGGTGGCTGGTGTGTGTCAGTTAGAAATTTTAGGGGTGCTGGAGAAAATGCAACTTACCACGTCCCACGTCCCACGTCCTAACAAACCAAAAAAATGTAAGCTACATTTGTTTAGGATATGAAAAACACATGTAGCTAACATTTTTTTAGCACTTACAGGAAACATATATGCTTATATACATTTTTTAGGTTCACTTTGCATACCCCCCCCCCGGGACAATGTAACTTACATTTTTTTAGGTCCCCCCCTATTAATATGTAGGGATATAAAAACCATAGACGAACTGGTGAGACACCAGGGGGGTCAGCATTCTTTCTGGAGGCCATGTAACATGTTAATGTTGATTTGAGCATTTCTTTGACTCAATTCTTGATCCTTGTGATGCCATGGGTGCTGAGAGTGACTTCTACACTGTGCTTGAACTGGGCAAGGACCGTGTAGATCATAGGACCTGTCGTGGATGTAGCTTGTTTAACTGCTTAGCAGGTCACATATGTCACATGCAACCATGCGTTATTTTGGCAACTGGCAAGCGCGGCGAAAGACACATGGCATACGCCCGGCACACAGCCAGAAATCAAATGTAATTTGTTTCCCTCCCAAGCCATGCTGATCATGGAGTCTGATGGGGGGGTCCGCTTGCATTCAAGATGAGGAGTTTGTCTAAGAAGGGGAAGCAGAGGCCGCCGATGCTATCTTATTTTTACAGGTGGTTGTTCCTTTGTTATGGCATGGAATTCGTAGGCTACGTAGGCTAGACTGCTCCGAGATGTTACACTCCCTGAAGTGTTCATCGTTATGTGGATGGCATGGCCTCGAGTTTGGATGACCCATGACCATCAAATCCGTAGACCAATCAGGCGGTGCCATCCACGTAACCATGATTTCAGGGAGTGTAACATCCGCACAAGAAGAACAATGGACCCGGCAAGTGAGATCTGCCAGGCGAGTTCGTTCCGGAGGGTTTGGCGCAACACACTGAAACTGAAGGAGCGGTTTCAGGATGTTTCAGGTGGGGGATCATGACTGAGTTACCTTTAATCACTTGGATAGACTGTATGTACCTACATGTACTCTTACAACTGTAAAATACAAATACTTCAAATAGAATATATTAATACATATACTTTAACAAAACATCATGCACAACAATGTGCAACACGTTTTTTCTTGAAGAAAGACACAAAACCTAAACATTGAAAGACGTCGCAGGACGGCGAGAGACGCCGAGCTGCGACGCCGCGGACGCGCCCGTCGCTGCTCAGTCCACCGCAGGACGCATCCTTCGAGGAAGTCCGGCGGGTCGCCTGGCACCGGTCGCGGCAGGGGAGCAGTTTCGTGTTGGTATATGCAATATATAATTTGTATATTGTAACTATACATATATTTGAATATATATATATATATATCGATAGATACAACATGCATATATTATATAAAATACTGTAAGGGCCCAGACATGACCACTGTTTTGAGAGGAAGTTTGACCAAGTTTTGGGGTGGTTGATGCTCCAAAATTGAGGTCATTCAGGTTCTAGGTCATACCAGAGCGCCCCCCAAAATCAGAGGAGACCATGTGGGTCGGCTCAACTGCGATTCTGGTAGCGTACTTCTGCAGGTGGTATACTCATACTCCAAACCTGTTCCCCGAGCAGGTCTTTTGCGTATTTGGCTCCAAAGGAGATGACTTCTCGGGTGGGTGGTCTACCTACCTGGCGCCGGACGGGCCACCGGCCACGACCGACCGGTCGTGGACCCGTCGTGGAACGGGTCGGGTGTGCTGAGCAAGGAGAAGCCTCCAACCATCCAGCCGGTACGGTGGTGAGACACCCGCACAAAGCTGGCGGGTTGAAGACCGCAGAGGGTTCAACAAGTGAATGAGGGGCGATTTGGATTCGACCAATTTTGTTGGTGTCTATGTGGTTTTTGGGACCAATTGAGTCCTTGAATGTGTTTTTTCTCATTTGCGACCTTTGACATGCCATGCTTCGGTCGAGACAGACCGAGGCGTACTTGAAGATGGCCCTGATGCCTGGCAGACGTGGGGCGAGGGGAGGAAAGGCAGAGTGATAATCGAGACGAGACTGGAGGAACGAATCATGCACCAAAACGAGAAAGCTGCGAGCGAAAATTGCTCTTTGGAAGTGACTCCCAGTTTTGTGAAGGAGGATGGAGGCCTTGCTGAGGGAAAAAACCATTCGGTCTTAAAAAGGTACAGGTTTATGGGCCCTATCTCACCGGACTCGGGGTGCGGCATTGCCTCGATGGGGCTGAGCCAACGGGGAGCTAACACTTCACCTTCCCCCACAATAGGGCCCAACCAGCACTGTTTCTACTGAGTTGGTCAGTTTGGAAGAGACATGAAGAGACCCAAAAGATGTCAAGATGGCCAGAAATTGTTTGCCAGTTTGCCCCTTCTTGGATTTGGGCCCAGAGGCTGCTCCAGGTGGCCATTGCTTTGAGTCATGAGCCAGCAAACAGATTTACTGAAAATGACTCCAACCTACGACCGAACGAAGTGATTCGCCCCGATGACGTCGCACTGGCTCCAGAACAGGAAATGGCACCCCGACAAGAATCCTATGCATCCGGACGTGGCGGCCGCTCGGTGTGCGAGTTCGAACCGTGAACCCAGGTGCGTCCATGCGTCCAAAGGGGCCGGGGGTGGTTTCTGTCGGGGAAAAAACGGCATTTGAGTTCAAGAAGAGGTGCTTCTTCTTGGCGCACTGGATGCGATCTTTTTTAACAAACACAATCCCAAACATATAAATCCTGAAGGCCCTTCCATCCCAAGGCTCAGACACTCAACCATTTGTGTATACATGCATCTATATACATACATGCAGTATCGAAACCTGTTACTGTATAAAAGGGTGCAAAAACAAGTAACAAACATCAGGAATCTCAGATCTTGTTTCTGAATGTGTTTGTTATTGAAAAACAGTGTCCTTCACTTGGCATTGTACCGTCCAGACTGTCCAGACTTGTTCACAGCTGGGGCTAAGCCCCATGGGCAACCACACGACGGCAGGCACTGTAGGAGGTCGGTGGCGGCCAACAGCCAACGCCGCTAGTGAGACCCTCGCCGTCGCCCCAAACGGTGAGGAGCAGATGTTCAAGCGAGTGGCCCAAGCCTACAAGGCCGGATGGACGAGATGGAGAGCTAGAGGCCGAAGTAGCAAGATGGTCAAGCCACAGACGAAAGCGATGTATTTTGCAAGCAAAGGGCCTAACAAACGGATACTATATATATAATATATATGTATATGTAGTATACGTATATGTATTTATGAAATATATATATATATGTTTCAATGATCAGCATATCTACATTCCACACATCCGCCGTTCTAAAGAGGGACGTTTTCCTGTTGCTGGAGCTCGTCACCCCTGTTCAGGCCCTAAACTAGGGTGTTGGCGTGCTGCAAGCATCAGAACATGTGGTCATTTTCCATACATGAATTTGCTAATTTGCATGAACCGATGCTGATCTTCAAAGGCTCAGTGTTCGCTTTTCATCCATCTACTGTATAAGGTCACAATAGCAAAGCCGTCACGGCCCGATCTCGGACCCATGGCCAGTGCAGATCGCGCACACGAGCAACGTGTGTTGGACCTCCAGATTGTGGGCTTGGATGGTGAAGGACCTCCGGCGAATAGTGTTGGACGCAGAAGTTGATGTGAAATATGGGCCAGAAGTAGGGAGAATGAAAGGGTCTAAACATTCTTGGATTCCCTTTGCTCTACGAGTGAGAAAAAGGGTCTTGTCCTTCTTCCTCAAGAAGGGCTTTTCTCAAAGGAGTGGACCTCGCTGTGCCTGATGGTCTCACTGGGGGCGAGCTGTGCACCATCATCCGTGATCGTCTCAGCAAGAAGAGCGCCAGGGTGGTCCTGCAGCATGGATCTGAAATGCTTTCCCCAAGGAAGACCCTGAAGGAGTCTTTTGTGTCATGGCATGACAAAACATGTCATATCCATGTGAAAAACTTTAGAGCAAGTATCCCCGGCGTTTTTGCTGGATTGTTCGATGAGTGGGGCATGCTGTGCATACTTTTTGTTTCACAAATCCAGGAGTCTTTTGGATGTGAATCAACCATACACCTGACCTATATCTACATACCTACCAGCTTGGATGAGGTTTGGAAGTTGCTTCATGGCCTGGGTGCCCCGCAAAGTTCCATGGAAGGGCTTCAGGAAGTAAGAGGCATTCGAGATTTGAGTCAGCTGAGCAAGCTTCCCCACAGCCTTCAGAGCCTGATGTTTGGTCATCGGTTCAACCAGAGTTTGGAAGGCGTGAGTTGGCCCAGCCGCCTCCGGAATTTGACGTTTGGCTATGAATTCAACCAGTCTTTAAAGGGCGTGACTTGGCCCACTGGGCTCCAGTGTTTGACTCTTGGCGAGCGATTCGATCAGAGTTTGGACGATGTGACTTGGCCCGGCTGTCTCGAGTCTTTGACATTGGGTGGACGTTTCAATCAGAGTTTGACAGGCACCACTTGGCCCTTGAAGCTCCAGACGTTAGCCTTTGGCGAGCAATTCGATCAGAGTCTGGAAGGGGTCACTCTACCAGACAGTCTTGAGACTTTGACATTTGGATTTTGCTTCGACGAGAGTTTGGAAGGGTGGACTTGGCCCCGGAGCCTCTTGCGGCTCACATTTGATGGTCGTTTCAACCGCAGCTTGGAAGGAGTGACCTTTCCTGACACCCTCCAGGATATAGAGTTTGGCACTAACTTCAACCAGAGGTTGGATGGTGTGCTTTGGCCAAAGCATCTCCAAAAGCTGACCTTTGGCTGCGCGTTCAATCAAAGTTTGCAGAGGGTGAGGTGGCCAAGCAATCTTCAAACTCTGACTTTTGGCAAAGAATTCGACCAGAGTTTGGATGTGGTAGCTTTGCCCCAAAGCCTCCGACATTTGTCATTTGCCAGGCGTTTTAACCAGATATTGACTGGTGTGACTTGGCCTGGAGGTCTCCAGAGCCTGACCTTTGGCACTTGCTTCAATCAGAGTTTGGAAGGTGTGGCTTGGCCGGAGCACCTCCAGAATCTGACCTTTGGCGAGCAATTTGATCAGAGGCTGGAAGGATCGCAGCTTCCTGCCAGTCTAAAGAATTTGGCGTTGGGCTTTTGCTTTGTCCAAAGCCTGAAGGGTTTGACTTGGCCAGGCGGCCTCGAGACACTGACTGTTGGTGGTCAGCAGAACTTGGAAAGTGTGACTTGGCCTGCTACCCTCTGCAGTTTGACGTTTGGCAATGAGTTCAACCAGAGTTTGGAAGGCATCAATTGGCCCCCACAGCTTCAGACTTTGACCTTCGGCCTTCGCTTTAATCGGAGTTTGGATGGTGTGATCTGGCCCCATCTCCTAGAGACTCTTGCCTTTGGAGACGAGTTCAACCAGAGATTGACAGGTGTGACTTGGCCACATGGCTTGCGACGGCTCAAATTCGGCCTCCGCTTCAATCAGAGTTTGCTAGATGCAACCTTCCCTCACAGCCTCCAGAGCCTCACGCTTGGTTGCGGCTTTGATCAGAGTTTGAAGGGCATGACTTGGCCCGATGGCCTGCAAATGTTGACGTTTGGCAGTCAATTTAACCAGAGTTTGAAGAATGTCAGTTGGCCCCACAGCCTCCAGAATCTGACGTTTGGGGACAATTTCAACCAGAGCTTGGAGGGTGTGACTTGGCCTGCGGGGTTGCAAGAACTGACACTTGGCGCTCGTTTCAACCAGAGCTTGGCTGCAGTTACCTGGCCCAAAGGACTGCAGAATCTCTCACTGTTGAACGATCGCTTCCAGCAGTTTTTGGAGGGTGTGACCTGGCCCGATAGCTTGAAAACTTTGCGTTGTCAGCAGCTAAGCTTGAGCTTGATTTGATTGGGATGCCGCATGCCCGAATCAAAAAAGAGTGCTTGCATGTGGCTTCGCACAGCAAGTGTATCAGGGAAGGATCAGGGTTTGCCACGCAGTTGTCGATGGAAGTGCATGCTAAGAATGCTGCTAAGCTTGCAGCCTGCACCGATAAGACTCAGAAAGAATGCAACAAAAAGCACCAATGGTGGGTCCATCTGTTGTTCCCTCGTCAGCTTGCCACACACCACTCAACCCACCCTCGAACCTGACTTCCCACCCAGTTCTCCGAACAGTTCTGCCTTTTTCCGCTCCACGCCGCTCGGCTCGGGGCCCGTCGTCAGGTGCTGGGTGACCCCGTGCTGCGGCGCCGCTACGACGGCGGCGGTGAGCGTGGTCTCGGAGAGGAGTGGTGGCCGAAAGATCCAGAAGCCAGTGGCTTGACAGCTGGAAAAACAGGATGGCAGTTGAAATAGGAGAATGTCATGATTGAAGGTACTGGGTGCTCGGGTTAACTTGTCTCGAATGGCATGAACTTGTGCCAGATGAGGTGTGCCCTTGGGGGAAAGCTTGATTGGGCTAAGTTTTTGTATGTATGTTGTTGTTGATCACAGGTTGAGAATTCGACCAAACCGCAAGGGCACACTGTTGATTCTGTCTCAAATTTATTGTACTCCCAAGTGCGCCGTTGCGATTTCATGTTTTCGGCTTCACTACATTGTGAGTAGGTATTTTTCAACAATCGTTGCGAAACGGTGTCCCCAAGCAGTTTTGTGTCTAGGAGTGTAGACGATCATTGTTTGGTCACTTCATACTGTGGTTTTTGTTCTTTTTGGTGACTAGTGCTTGGAATGCAACCAGCCTCAAGTTGCGCTTCCCAACCAATGTTGGGACAGAAAGGGGGCAGGCCTCATTTGCCTCGTGCATTTGTTTCTACATACTGGGTGCCTGTGTTTACCCCTATCGTGATCAAGATCTCGTATGGAAGCCGGTGTGCCATTGTGGGGAGCAATCAAAGCAGTGCAAACTAGAAGAGACGAGCAACATACTTCTCCATCTTATTGATGCCAGATCTGCGTGGCACACTGGCTTTTTCGCGTTCACACTGCAATGTGAAACCAGTATACCATTGGGGTGAGCTATCGAATAGCTATGAAATTGAACTTGTTTCTAGAGGTTTCTTTTGTCAACCCATAGTTGAAGCCTTTTCGAGAAGGCCCCATCTCCATCAAAGCGGATGAGCGAGGAGCAGTCTGATTAGTGTTTTTGACAAGTCGTTGCGAAGCGTGTCCCCACACAGTTGCGTGTCTAGGGGTGGAGGCGTTTGTTGTTTGGTAATCTTTGGTAATCAATATATGTCGGGCTTGCTGCTGGTTTTCTGCTGCTGCTGCCGCCTTGCTGCTGCTGGTTGGCTACTGCTGCTGCTGGCGGTTGGCTGCTGTTGGTTTGCTGCTGGTTGGCTGCTGCTGCTGCTGCTGCTGGCTGATTGCTGCCGGTGTTGCTGCTTGCTGCTTGGTTGTTGCTGGTGCTGCTGCTTGCTGCTTGCTGCTGCTTGTCGCTGCCGCTGCTCCTACTCACTTGCTGCCTGTCATTGCTTTGCACGCCCTATGATTATAGCAGGTTTCTTCCATTGCAGACTGGGTATTGGAAACATGATTTCAAGCTTGGTGGCAGGCCTGTTTGGTGAAACGCGGTGCCTCCATGCGGAAACAAGTATCGCATGCGGAAACAAGTATCGCAAGGACGTTGCCGTGACTTAGTCGTGGCGTGGTGTCCCAGTATATGACTGGTTGCCACAGCTGCGTTGCGTTGCAAGGACTTTTGTGTTTGGGTGTTAGTGGGCATGGGTCTTCTGGGCAAACGTGTTCATCTCGCCCAATACCTCGCACACATCTCGCCCTCTATCTCGCCCAACCCGCCAGGCACCAGGACCAACGCATATGTGTAAGAAAAGGCCTCTTCAATTTACATGGGCCCTCCAGGCAAGGAGCGATTTGCAGGGTTCATGTCTTCAAGCGTTCATGTTCACATTTTTCGCAGGTGTGCCATGCGGAAGGAACGCGCGCGCACAGACACCAAAAAAGGCAAAACGCAAGCTAACCATGGGTTTTGTCGTGGTCTTGGCATACTTCTGGCAGAGGTCGGAAGCGGGTGTGCACACCGTTTTCACCAATCCCACAACACAGACGATTTGGTTTCTAGCCTCTGTTGGTTTGCTGCTGGTTGGGTGCTGCTGCTGCTTCTGCTGCTGCTGCGCTGTGCTGTTTTGCTGCTGGTGGTTGGCTGCGGCCAGTTGCTGCTGGTTGGCTACTACTGCTGGTTAGCTACTGCTGGTTAGCTGCTGCTGGCTTCGTGCTGCCTGCTGTTTGGCTGCTGCTGGTTTGCTGCTGCCGGCTTGCTGCTGCTGTTTGGCCGCTGCTGGTGGGATGCTGCTGGTTACCTTCTGCTGCTGTTGGGTTGTTGGTGTTGTTTTGCTGCTGGTTGGCTGCTTGCTGCTGCTTGCTGCTGCTTGCTGCTGCCGCTGCCGCTGCCTGCGCTACAAAGCCTACTCATTTGCTGCTGGCTGTTGTTGCACAAACCCTATCATTGTGGCAGTGTTGTAAACTGGGCTTGGAAAGCATGGTTTTGGCTTAGATGGCCTGTTTGGTGACGCGGTGTCCCATGCGGAAATTAAGTGCTGCAAGGACTCTGCCGTGACTTAGTCGTGGTGTGGTGTCACAGTGTGATTTGCTTGCCGCAACTGCTTTGCAAGGACTTTCGCGTCTGGGTGGTTACCCTCGAGGTAGGAACTTAAAGGTGGCGCCAACATGTGGGCCAGAGGTGTGCCATGGGGGTTGGACCATGGCAGCCCATAGGAAACCTTAGAACCCATCAACATGTAGAAGATTGAATCACAATGGAATGGTGTAGGTTTAGAAACAATCTAGGCTAGGAGAACAAGTGCTTGTTCCGAAGCGGTGTGCCATGGGGATTGGGAGAGGAAAACATGCAAGAATGAATAGATATATGTTTGACGTTCCATGCTGCTTGCACTCTATGTAGAAACTGAAAGCTGGTACCAACATGTGGGTCAGAATCGGTGTGCCATGGGGATTGGATCACGGCAACCCACAGAGAACCTTAGAAAACATCAACATGTAGAAGATTGAATCGCAGTGGAATCGTGTAGGTTTAGAAACAATCTAGGAGAACAAGTGCTTGTTTCGAAGCGGTGTGCCATTGTGTTTTCCAAATGGGGTAAGTTTCTACATTCGTGGGGTAAGCGGTGTGCCATGGGGGTGGGTCAAGTTCATGTGCGATGGGGTAAGTTAGCACGTCGGGTCGTATTTTTTACCCGAGCAGCATTTTGGAAGGTTGCAATAGGTTGGAATCAGGACGTGCGAGCGAGAGAGAGAGAGAGAGCGTTCTGTGAGGTGCAGCTAAACTGGGCTGGGAAAGACAGTGAGCTTGGTCAGTTGATCAGGACAGTGGGCGATCGAGGTCATTGCCGAAACCCCGAAACTCCCGAATTTGGACGGTTTGGTTTGGTGGATTTTGAGGCAAAGATATGGCCTATCAGTTCTTTATCCACCGAGTGCCCGGGCATTCTCTCAGAGACGGCTTCAGCGAGGCTGGGAGTTGCTCCACAGCTGCATTCCCTGACTGAAGACAAGTTGATGCAAATCATTTCGGTTGATCCTTCGACCCGAAAAAAGACACGCCGCGCAGTTCGTGGTGATTTCGAGGTGCCCAAGCTTTTCACCTGACCCCCCATGCCATCCCATGACCACTGTTGATGATTTATGGAGTGCTTTGGGGGGTATGTTTGCAGATTATCCGACCTATCCCTCTTTGTTCAGTTGAAACTGCAGAATGGAGTCTACGTAGACGGGAGGCTTATGTTAGTACCTTTGGTACACAGGACTGTGTTACCACTTTGCTGTTGAACAGGCCCAGCTTCTAAAGAACGATGGTCCTATTCCTCAGGACCGTTCTAGAGACCGTCCCTTGTTTTTTTTTGGAGAAGATCTTGCAGCAGAGTGCCTCTGGGAGTTTCGCAGCAGGCCAAGCTCCGAGAGATCTTCCCAAACCTCTTCGGCCGCGGCAGCAGCTCGCAGTGCAGCCAGCTCTTGTGGTATGGATCTGGCCAAATCCTGCACATGTTCTTTGCTTTCCAAGCCTCGCAACAAAGGACTTGCTCTTCAAATACTGTAGCGTTCCGAACGTAGCACATATTTGATCATTGCCGAACAACTCATGTTCCGAACCAAGTTGTTGTTGTGTTAGCTACAGGATGCTACAGGACATTTGGTGTGTGCAGCATCGTGGCACTATGCCTTTCTTTAAGGTTCATAGAGCCTTACTAAGCCCAACTCTCTTCTCTACTGACGACTGACACCCCGAGATGCTGACCTGCAAATAGACCACATGGAGACATGTGGAGATCACTCTGTAATCCTTCCACGCAGCGGCTGGAGGTGGTGAAACGCTGCAAGAGGTGCCTCACCGCAGCCGGATGTCCCTCTCCTCACTGTGAGGGCCGTGCTGCGCCACGATCAATGGTGGGTTTTGGGTGAAAAAAGACGAGCGACACTAACATCCTTGCATTGGAAAAATCAGTAGAAAGCATGCGCGTATGATCGCCCTTTGCTTTGTTCAATAAGGAAAGCTAGCTCGCAAAAGCCGTGTTTCTTTCAACACCTGACTGTCATTGCTCCACATTGAATATTGGACTGGGTGAGGATGGCCTTTGTGAGTAAAGTAGGTATCAAGGCCAGGGCAGCTGAGGAGAGTTTGTTTAAATACATGTTTAAATAAAGCGTTAAAATGTATGGTCCATTGAGATCTTGCATATTCCTTGGAAAATGAAGCCAGAAACCTGAAAACAAAATTTGTTGGTGAGATGTTTGCATGTGTATTTTGTAGTATTCTTTATTAAGCTATTGGGAAGCCCTCCGACCGCAGCTTTGTATTTTAAAGCCGGAATCCCTGGCAACATCAACTTATGAGACAAAAACCGCATTGTTGTAATAAAAATACAATGATAATTAATTCTTCTATTTTTTTGTATTCTTTATTAAGCTATTGGGAAGTCCTCCGACCGCAATTTTGTATTTTAAAACCGGAATCCCTGGCAACATCAACTTATGAGACAAAAACCGCATTATCGTAATAAAAATACAATGATAATTAATTCATTTAATGATAAATATGTTGTTTAAAATGTAATTAAAATATTAAAATTAAAATTAATAATATCGGTCTATTATTAATGTGTGTTTGTTTTATATTTTAATTAATTAATTTATATTTTTAAAAAAATAATAGAATATGAATAAAACAAATAATTCAAATAATTTTATTATATTATATAATATTTTTAATATATGGATATATATTTTTTAAATATATATTATATTATTTTGATTTTTTTATATATATTCGTATTATTGATATATTTTTAATTAATTTGGAATTATTATGGATTTATGGGCAGAAAAATTTTTGGGTCGTATATTTATCGATTGGTGTGTTATTTATTCGATGCAAAATTAATATGATGTCGGGATAATTTCGATAACGTTTGGTCGAAAAGATATATATATATATTTGTTTAATAAAGCGCCATTTCGAGTTTAAGCGTCCGCGGTCGTGTCTGGGGGGCCATCTGCTATGGATCTTGTGGTTTTCCTTCCATAGATGGGTATGTGGTTCCTTCCGATATTCACCATAGCTGCTTTGATCCACCAGATGTCCATAGAACTGGATCTCCCGGTCCTAAGTCTCCCGATGCTCCGCCTTTTGTATCACAAGGATTGAAGCCTGGCGTGAGGGTTGCTAATCTTTCTGCACGGGTTGGCGAAAGTGCGATGCACTCCTATGCACCTACTAAGACACGCACGAAAGCCAGTGAAGTCTGGGCGATGTTTGGTTACGGCTAGTTGGTGCATCAGTCTCGAATACGGCGTATTAAGCGTTTATTTCGCAGGGCATATAAACGTGCATTACAAGCTGGACACATTAGCTACCATGGCAGATGCTTCACAGCATCCGACGTGCCTTTTCGGTTGCGAGGTCCTTTGAAGGCTGAAATACGGAGGTCAACACTGCAACCTCAATTTCGACAGGCACAACAATTTGGTGTTGTTTTGAAGATTTTTTCTTGCAATACCACCAGATGCTTGAGTTACCATGAATGGTTAGCCTGGGCCACGGGCCGACCTGAAGATGTACTCTTGATTCAAGAATCCAACTGGAAGTTTAATGGACAATGGGAAACTGAACATTGGTATTGCATTCACTCTTAAGAGGCTGCTGCGAGCCGGCTTATCATGATCCGAAAAACATTGATCCGAGCATCCATGTTGGCGTATGCGGTGTTGATTCCAGGAAGATTGTTGCATATTCGCTTGATGCTAGACAGGGTCCATGATTTGTACATAATATATTAGATGGCCTGGAGCACGACCAAGTCAAGCCGTGCTCTATTGCAAGAAAGGCAGGACCTGTGGGGGAAACTCCGTTAGTGTATTCAACATACTCCTCAAAGCCACATGATGGTTGTTATAGGGAACTTCAATTGTCCGCTACAACGCGATTCGCAATCCATTGGCAGTCATGATCCACGCTTTGACCAGGCACTTCAAATTGATAAACATGACTTCCAACTCATGATTCGTGAATTATCCTTGGTTGCAGTTCATTGCAAGCAGAAATACATACCCACCTTTCTGCATGGTTGTCATCGGACCAGAATCGACTTCGCTTTCATGCGATCCAATCAGATTAGGTGGAAACCCATAACTGCTTCAATTGACTGTCGGTTTGAGCGCATTGGTTTGCATCAGGGACCACAACACCGTCCGTTACTCCTTGGCCTTCCCCGGTGGCATCCGATCAGATCCGTACCTTCGAAACTTGTTTCTATCGATCGGTTTCGAATTCGACAGGAGATGATCGCTGACACAACAGCATGGAGACACTTTGTCGTGGCAGCCCAGAGCTGTATCCTCAGACATCAGTCACCTAGCCTGAATTGTCCGATTGAAAACTGCTATTCCATGGAACATGATCTTAGAGAATTGTGTCTTGAGCATTTTCCTCGTCAGAAAAAACATTTTTCTTCTGACCAGACTGTGGTCTCCCTCACGGCCCGTATGTGGCATGCACGTCGACAGGCTAGACAGGTTCTGTACGTTCATGTTCGCACACTATTCCACAGTTGGAAACACCTCACCATCTTTGCGCGTTTGCATGCTCAGATTCGTAAATTTGGTAGGATCAACAAACGACACAAGCTTGAACAATTCTTGAAGGAGAATGTTCCCCATGCTTTGTCTAATCGTATGCATGATTGGTATCGCAACATCCGTAAACTCTGTCCTAAGCAGCCTTTTCGTAAGATACAATTGCATGATAGATTTGGCGCCCCTCTTCTTCCGCACCAGGAACTCGCTGTCCTTGTTGATCACTTTGGCACTATGTTCCATGATGAGTATTTTGAGTTAGCACCTGCTCCGTTGAACTCCATCCCATTCACTCAGGATCAGGTTGCAATGGGCCTCTCCAAACTTCCTGCTACGAAGGCACTTGCTCCGGACGGGATGCCGGGACTGATTTGGAAAGTCTTCGCACACGACATTGCAGCAGTTGTTTACCCCGCCATCGAATGCGCCTGGACTCAGTCGGGTATTCCCCCCTCACGTTGGGCCACTGGATGGCTGCATCTCCTCAGTAAGCCCCATAAACCTCCCAATCATCCTGCTGCGCTTCGACCAATATGTCTACAGCACCCAGTCAGTAAAGTCCTCTCGGGCATTCATTGTGCACAAGTGTTGGAACAAGCACTTCCTTCCCTTTGCAGGGTCCCCCTGTACGCCTACCTACCGCATCGCGGCACACAGGACTGTCTCCTGCTGACTTCTGACCACTGTCGACAGGTCAAAGCACTGTGCCAGGACCACAAAAGTGATCCATCTAAGTCTGGACTGTGGGGTGGCCTTCAGGTCTCACTCGATCTTGAGAAGGCTTTTGATGCCATTGATCGAAACTTGGTACTTCGAGCCATCCAACGATTCGAGTTGCACCCAGACCTTCAACTCCTAGTTCAGTCTTGGCAACACAAACATAAGTACTGCATACCCCATAAAGATTTAATCGGACACGTCACAGCCAGCCGGGGTATAAAGCAGGGGTCCAAAGATGCCCCTTTGCTATGGACCTTGAGCATGTACCTGCTCCTCGATCACTTGATGGCCTGTTTCGATCTGCCCTGGATCATTTCCCACATTATCATCTACGCAGACGACATTCACCTCAGGTGGCTCATAGATAGTCCAGCCTCGGGCCTGTCGGCCTTACATGAACTAACTGTGGTGCTGGGTACGCTCAAGGCTTTCCATTTCAGGGTCAATCTGACCAAAAGTGTTGCCATCATGCGCCTTGTGGGAAAGTCCGCTCAGGCGTTTTTGAAACGATGGACGTCGAGAACAAAAGAAGGACCTCGTTTGCACCTGCCAGATCAATCCTTAAGCCTTCCTCTTGTCAGTAGGACAGACTACCTAGGTGTCACATTGAGCTATCGCGCATTTGATCATGACACCATTGTTCGCAGAATCAAAGCTGCAAATGTTTGCTTCCGCATCTTGAGGCAATGGCTCCTGGATCAGCATCATCCATTGTCAATTCGTCTTAGGTTGTATAACCAGTGTGTTTTACCCACAGTCTCATATGGCATCCACGAGATGGGGATTTCAACTCGCAGTTTTCAGATGATCAATGGCATGATAACCAAACATCATAGGACCATGACCCGATCCCCTGTGCACCTCACCCGTGAAACCAACACGGCCTTCTATTCACGTATGCACATTGAACCTCCATGGTGCTATTTTGTTCGACAACAAACTCGTCTGAACGACTCCCTAAGTCGACGTCGTGACATCCTGATCCGTGAAGCCATGCAGACTGGTCAGCAAGATATATGCGTTTTGACCCCAGCCTACCCTGATAACCAATTACAACATGAACCCACGGCTTCACTCTCGTTCTCTCAGGCACCTGAACTCAAATGTCCAGAGTGTGATCGAGCTTTTCATCAGGCAGGACCCTGGAAACGACATATGCGTACTGCACACCAGATTCCCTGCCACATTGAAGATTTGTTTGATCCCCTGCGTGATTCATTTGAAGGGAAGGCAACATGTAGACACTGTCACAAGCAATTAGCTGATATATATCGCCTTAGATATCATATCAATGCCAGAGTTTGTCTCCAGTTTGATCCGCACAAGGAGACCATCGTGCCGATTGCTGACCGCCAGTCATTGAGAATGCATTTGCGCTACAAGTCCATCCCAGGTATTCTACTGGACAAAGCCCTGGTCTGTGAAATTGCACACCACTGTGTCTTTTGTCACCTTGCCGTGCCTGCTCGCTCCATTCGTAAACACTATGGAGAACGACATCAAGGTCTTTTGGTTTATGAAGCATTGCATCGCGATCAAGTGTATGGCCTTGCTAATCTAGGTAGTGGAA